AAAATGGAAGACAAACTTAAACCCGTCCAAGCAAGATAAGTAGTAATCGAAATCGAAAATCGAATGCACGTAGCGCGCGAAAATTCAAATTCGCGAAACTTTTTGCACAAACCTCGTATGTACATACATATACATAATGCACTATATATATGCATCACTCGTCGATATTGTTTGAATCCAGGCTTTTCTTGGGCCCAGACTGACCTCACTCTTTACTTAATAACTTTTTTTGTTAACATTCATGCAAAAATGCTTTTCACTTAGAGGAGAGCAAGGCAACAAATGCGGTTTGTACCTTTTCATAACAATACTGGTGAACAAATGAAAATATAATACATTTGTACAAATGCAGATAGTATATCTTTGGGTGCGCCTGAATTATGTTATTAAAATACAAATTATAATCAACAGCTGTTATTTCTAAGGATCTGATTGTATTCTCTACACATTTTCGGTGCGCATATATATTGTAATTCATGCTTGAAGAGAAAAGTAGTCAATGGTAAATCTTCTTACTTCGGAGATAGTATAATGTGTTTCAATTATCTGCTGTCTAGAAAATTTTTTACAGCCAGAAACTATGCTATATATTTTTAAAGCTGGCTTTGCACTTTCAATTTTCTGATTACTTGGATTAAAATAGTATAATTTCGACACAGTACTGTAAATATATAAAAAACAAGAACGGGTTTCTTACAAGGGTGAACGATTTTTATTCATGCATTAACTGAATGTAACATACATGAAGAGGCGGATCCAGAGTAAAATTTTTTGGGGGAACTATATAATTTTGTACTTGTAACTCAAAGGAAGCTTGATGGAAATTATATATGTATGTGTAACTTTTAACTTATGTGGTTAAAATCTGGATGTTTCAATTTAACAATTTTTAATCGAATTTTTCCATAAAAACTAGAAACTTTAATTGCTTAAAGTGATTTTTTTGCTACCTTTGGATAAATACTAATAGAAATCAGCACTTGCATATGTGATTTTCCAATATTTGCTTTATAACTTATGAAGAATATTTTAAAAAAACTTTGATCATGTTCGTTTTATGCTCCATATCTATCCGCTTAAACAATGTCACCTCAGTTTTGGTGTAACCGAAAGGAGCCTTGTTTTGATCAAAGAAAGGGCAACATAATGCTGGCCCATATGATGAAACTTAAAATATTGTATTGATAATATAATTAAGAGAACTTTATTAAAAACTTTAAGGAAAAATTAAATTGTACTTGATAAACCTTTATAGTACAATATATTTATGATATTTAAAAGTGTAATAAGAGATTTCTAGTTAGGCCTAAAATGGAAACTTGAAGAAGAAGGATAACATTTAACTTTTGTTTATATATTTTCAATATAAATAAATTCTTTAACCCTTGTTCCAACAAAGCCTTTTCGCAATATATACCTACATATATCTGTAAACGTAACCGTAAGTAAAGTGTTGGGCGGAACTCATTAAACACTATCCTATAATTACTACCGTACATAACAATGAAACCGTCATTATAACAAAAACAACAATAAATGCTTATGTAAAACAATCATTTGTACATAAGTAGATATCTGGTTTGTGTGTAAGACAACTTAAGCACGCAGCGGAAAGTGAACAAAAATAAAGTGACTTTTACATTGTTTTCTCATTTCTGCTTTTGAATGCAATGATGAAAGGGAAACTAATCGAAAATAAGCAAAACAAATAAATAAAGAAAAGAAAAAAAAATATAAACAATTGAAAACAAACTATGCAACCACATAAAAAAAATATATGCAATGTTTAGTTACAAAGCCCACTCACAAGGACGAAGGGCAAGTTCACAATGTGTTTCGCTTGGTCAATGACAGCCAATAATAGTTGGTATTCACCAATAAAAAAACAATATACTTACATTTATGTGTGGCTAGATTAACAAAAAAGCTTACAATTACAAGTGTGTTTGGGTATAATGGCTTAAACCACAAAATGATATATCTCTGGTTATCGTTTGTAGCTTAAAGTGGTAAAAGAAGTAGGGGAAATGGTTGAGCTAAAGACTTCAAAACTGATAGCAAAGTGTTGAAAATTTGAAAAAAAGGAACTCACAAACAAATAAATAAAATATAATGCAATAATATTTTATTTAATATTACCCATACGCCAACAATTACCAATTTAATAAAAGTATTGGCGAAAAAAAATTTATATTTAAAACTCCTACACGGCGTATACGTAACATTTAAAAACACTGTTTATTGCTCGAAACGGATCGAGTTTTAAGAGGGTATTCTAGTCTAGAGGATCGAATTTCGAGCTTTTTTCCACAATTAATAAAAAAGAAACACTCGATATTTTTGCTGTCCATTTTTTATCATTTGTTTATTAAACTTAGAAGAGTACACAAAATAAATTTCAAAAAATATAAAAAAAATGTTTTCAACGAGTTGTACATCCTTAGAGAAAAGGGCGGAAAAAAGAGCCCGTGTCCTCATCGCCATGATTTCTACCCTTGTCGTTATCTGAAATATAAAACAATGACAGATTCTTAATGAGTACGAATGTCGCTATGTTATGAAGGAGCAAAACTAAAAAAAAAAAATTTCCATAAAATGGCGGCTACTCAAAAAAAAAAAGGTCGATTTTTTCACTAATTTAAATTTCAATTTTGTCGATTTTTTTTTCAATATTATAAATTTCAAATTTTTATTTTTAGTTGCTTCTAGTGATAGAGATATAAATATTTAAAGAATATTCATGCCAAATCTCAAATATATCGATTGATTAGAACTTCAGATATTGTGGCTCCGCATCAAAAAAAATAAGGAGTTTTGAAAAAACGCGTTTAAAGTTTTACGTTAAATTTCGGGCAGCGTAATAAATGATAGTTCGTTCAACCGGTCTAGTTGCCACGTCACTAAAATGGCTACAACTTTAAAAATAATTTGAGTTTTGAAAAATTTTTGAATATCAAAACTATGGAATTATGAAAAGAAAAATTTCGATTTTTTCAAGTTTCTAGACTAATATAAATTTTATTTCTTCTACAGTTGGCAAAAATCTATAAAAATTTGATACGGTGAAAACAGTCGAATACTAATTTTTCACTTAATGCTATAGTCTTCATTTCAATTATCTGCTCGTATAAAATATACCTAGTTTGGTGCAATCATTATGAATAGCATGGGCATACATAAAATATTTCGCATTGTCTTTTTTATACTTCTGACGTGGGCGTGAATTACCATGAAATATTCCCTTCACCGCTAAACTTGAAAGCTCTGTACATATTAAAGCTTTTCGCTGACACTTCTACATATGTATATAAATTTCACCGGGGTAGTGAGTAGCAACCCACGCACTACGAAACGGAAGCAAAAGAAAATTAATAAATTGATGTGAAAGCAAAAAATGTACAAAAACAAATGCGGATGTTTACGGGTGTGCGACTCTTATATGTAATAGTATGTTTGTGCTGTGACACTGGCACACATTAGTGATAGAAAAGGAAATGGAAGACCGAATTACAATCATGCCGGGTAGGAAAATTAATTAATAACATGGAAAAGTTCTCTTTTTCTTAGACTTGGAGATATTAAAAATTATAATTTTCTGTTTCACTAGTTTGCTAGTGGTATATTTTCCAATAGGGAGTTCACACGAGGCCTTAGGATTTGCAAAATTATTTTAGTAAAAGTAATTTGATGAACAAAATTGTAGTCATATTGGGTAGTCGAAAAAGTCTTTTCGTATTTCGAATCAAACTTCAACTTATTTTTTATAATTATAATAATAAATAAATATATTTGTATACCATTTTGGTCGACCACTTTTTGCTATTTTTTTGCTAGAGACATTATTCCATCAGTGTAATTCAAAATTTCGAAATTTTCGGAACAAAATGGAGCGAACCGTCTCCGCAAACTTCACAAATTTCCTTGGTGGATTGCATGGCATTCTTCTCTTTTTTTTCAAAATATTGCGAATTTCTTCATTATTTTCAGTCATTTTTGAACAGTTGTAACTTTTTTTCAACCTCCCCGAATTTCTTCATTTTTTTTTATTACATGGAGCTTAAATTCTCCTTTCCAACACTCTATGGCATGACACAATGTGATTGGTAGCAATGGATACGACTGCAACGACATCTATTGAAAAAGATACGAAAAGACTTTTTCGACTGCCCAATATTTACAAGGTCACAATTACAATTGCTATAAAAACGACATAGTATGCTTATATTACAAAAGTTTCGAAACATTATATTTACAACAGTAATATTAATTTTACATATAACTATAATAAAGGATTTGCGTCAGCCTTGTCTGAATCAACAGCACAAAATACAAACTAAGTCCCATTATCAAGCCCGCATTTCGACATCACTTATTTCCTACTGGGTGCTAATTCCACTCACATTCTTGTAGCATACTTTTAAGCGTTACATCACATACATACCAATGTACGTAACATACAAATGTATCGGTGTATATGTGTCAGAGAGTGCTGCTATTTCTGTTTAAGCTTAAAAGTTTGCGCTGTCTACGTGCGGACACACAGACTTTTGTTTGGGGATGATTTGGCATTTGGGCTCTGTGTGTAATTCTGATTCAATATAAGCTCCTGTATGTGACTGTAAAGCAAGTTACCCAAAAGTTGCAAGTTTAATGGTGTAAACTTTTTTCTTCAAATTGGAGTTTAAATTTGCACTTTCGTTCACCTGAGTGACACTGACACCAAAGGTTTATGGCATTTGTTGCTGCTGTTTATCCATCCATTACTGCTAGCTGACCATCACTATTTTATTTCTCCCTACGTCTGTTCGACTGTCCCACAAGCTAATGGCGCAAAATATTTCCCACCCATCGTTGGGCAAACGAAACCATTGCAAGAGCTTGAGAGCTGGCTGTGCGCTATGTGACTACATAAATATTCGGCAGCCTGCCTGTCTTGGCGCTTACGCTGATATGCGGTGCCTGATAAGCGACCAACTACTGTCAGTTGTTACTCAGCATTCGTTGGATGTGCATGTTAGTGCGCTTGGAAATCTTTGAGAGCATTGGAAATCACTCAGTTGAACATTGCAACCGAACCATAATTAATTTTTACTAGAAATATTGAGAGAAACGTTTTCTAAAAGTGAAATTAAGCCAGACAAATTTTAATTATTTTAAAAGCACAAGAAAAAATAAAACATTAAATAATTTATAAAATAATATATCAAGCATAATTTTTAAAAACTAACTATTTTTGAAAAAGGAAAACTTAACGTAACAACCGCAGCATTGCAGTGAAGGGTGAATTAATTAGAATTTCCTAAAACGCAATTACCGTAAAGTACTCGCGCCACAAAGGCGCTTAAACGCTTGAACGTTTTATTACATTCTCAGTCTAGTCGTGGAAGGATAACATCTAAATTTGAAAATCTCTACTCGAAATAAATTGTATTCAAACCAACAATAACAATAAATTTGAAATTAATTTATAATTAACACGCAATCGCCAAGCTTTACTGCGCCATCACACCATCATTATCATTAGCGCATTTGCGTCTTCGAAATTTCTAAAACCCCAAATAACGAAGCATCATCTCATTATGGAAAAACACGCAACTCCGAATCACGCTGCGGCTGGGCAGCATCATCAGCATGGCCACCACCCGGACAAGATAAGCGTAAGTTTGTGGCACAAATATACTAAAAGTGTTCGCTCTGCTCACATCTGATGCAGTAAACGTTTAGAAAATGCTCACATTTGTCTATCTACACACTCGCCCTTCTAAACCAACCAAACATCAAGTCTCGACCCACAGCCACCCGAGCTAAACCCCCAAATCATCTGTTTGGTTAAGCGTTTAGTGTCCAACTACTTCAGTGGCGAGCTAAAATTATTTACATCGTTTTCACACATATACCATCATATTTTATCACACACACAGAGAAATATGTGTATATACAGCCGTTCTATTTGCCGTTAGCAGGCACCTTCGCTTGCTCAGTTCAGCGCATCCTTTGTCGACGTTTTATTACCTGTATAGAATGCCAATGACTGTGAGCACTCTGAAAGGCGTTCAGTTCACGCAGCCACGCTCTTTAATGGCTTAGCACACACATACATATGTATATATAAACATCATGTAGATATTTGTATAGCCTACTGCTGTTTATAAACAATCTAATCTCCGTTGGCTAGCGTCTTTGCTTAATGCGCTCATTTATGAAATGGCTTTTTTTTGCTTCATCAGGTTTGTTCGCCTGCTTTTGGTGTGTGTTTGCTTTAATAAATGGTTTGAGAATTTTCTCTTTTGTTTGTTGAAAAATTACAGTAATTTTTTATTTCACATATTTAAGTATTGGCGATTTGCTGGTAGCCAAGCTGGTCTGTCTTTGGACATTTCACTAAATTCGGCAACTTTTAGAAGATTGTGTATTGTATTACTCCGTATTACATTTTCGCTATCTTAAGCTTAAATTGTAGCTCAAATTACTTCGAAAATTTAATTAAATGCTTAAAATTTATCAAGAGTCTGGTTGCTTGATTTTATTTCCACCCGAAAGTAGGAGTATAAAACAAGCAAAAAACATTAACGACAGTTTGTATGGCAGCTATATGTTAGAATTATCCTATTTAAATTATTTCTGAAGCATTTGTAGCAATGTCTCGGTTAATAATATATGCCAAATTTTATCGAGATATCTTATCAAATGCAAAAGTTTTCCATATAAGCACTTGAGTTCGATCGGTAAGCTTGTATGATAGGTATATGATATACTTGTCCTATTTGAGCTATTTCTTCGGATAAAATGTGATTGCCTCAAGGAATAATCAATAAAAAATTTCGTGAAGATACCTTTCTCAAATAAAAAATTGTTCATACAAAAACTTAATTTTGATTGTTTAAGTCCAATGGCAGCTATGTGTAAGATATAGTAGTCCGATATCGGCGGTTCTGAAAAATTAGCAGCTTCTTAGAGAAAAAAAGGCATACAAAATTTTTCAGTCCCATATTCCAAAAACTGTGGGATAAATTTGCGTATATAAATATGTTACAAACTTTTAGAAACTTCATTACGGATCAACGGGGGAGAAAACGAAGTTCACATACAATTACAACAATTTTACTTGGAATAACTTCGAACTACTCTTTGATTAACATTAATTTTCGGTGGCTCATCAAAAAAATTAAGAACAAATTGCTCTTCATGTTCCATATGAACTTTCTGCCACCATTACTGTAACTAATTATCGCTGACGTTAAAACCTAAATGTGCTAGTCACTGAAGTTAACGTTTAAATGGAGACATAAGATATTCCTACATTTTACAATGCAGTATCGTAATATTTTAACGATTTAGTCACAATTCGGTTACAAGTTACTAAATTTCCTAAATTAAACTGTATACCAATAAGCAATTTATGAATTTTCCACGACGCTCGCTAGAGCAACTAATATATACAGGTATATACATATACGCGATGGTATCAAACAAAAAATATTACGCATAATTTACAAATTATTACGGTCTTTTGTCGCTATTTCGCAATATTTCATATTGCTAATCAAATGAAAAATGTTTGTCAACCTATTTCTAGTATATCACAATGTGTGTTTCTAAGCAATTATTTTTCATAAATTGTTTTCAAAACAACATGACTTGTTCGTGTACAGCAACACCCACCTTTCGCGCACTCACTTTGACCCTCCTACTATTGATAACTACCGGCATCCTTATAGTTTTGTTTGCGAAACCTGTCCGCTTCCCTAATTGGTCTACCGTCTTGTCGGCCAAAATCATTTATCATTGCCTGTCAAAGAGGCTTCAACACATTTATCATTGGAGGTATTAGTTATTTGTCGAATTTTCTGCGTGCTAACCTCACTTATCGACTTTTTGATTTGTAGAGGCAAAAGTTTCAGCTGGAGAAACAATCGTGGCTACTAAAGTGTAGCGCACATTATGGCTTTTTCAGAGTAAGTGAGAAGTACTTGGACTCCATTTCGTAGTGAAAACTTTAATTGTAGAATGTTTAAATGAGGAATATTCAAAACTTGTAAAGTTAGTTTAAAATTTACACTAAAATATGTTCCAAAGAGCATCATAAATCATCTTATTTTTCTTAAACCCTCCAACGAATCAAAAAACAATTGATACAAGTATTTTTAGACTTGAAAGTCTGTACCCTTTGTATCAGCAAATCGAAATAAAATATTTAAATTATTAGGATGCCGTCTTTAAAATTTACCAAAATCGAGTTATGCTCTTCTGTAGCTACTTTTGTACAAAAAAGGTTAACTAAACTGTTTTGTTGCATTTTAAGTGCTTTGTTTTCCTATATACATGCCTACATATGTACAACAATTAATCATACATACAATCTTACATATATTCCCTAAATTTACATTGCATTGCTTGAATTTAAGAAATAAAACATATTATTGTTTCACAGTTTTTTCACTTCATTGAATTCATTTGCGTCATTAAGTTCATCAATTTAAATAAAATCGGACATTACATTAGTTTCAATTACATTTATCCAGAATAATGTCCGTTGCGCATCATAATTTTGACATCCGTTCCATGGGAGGCAGTCGAATACAACAATAAAACGAAAGCCATTTGCTTAAAATCATTTCCGCATCCTTTGGGTGGTGTCTGTAAGCTTCTGCTGTTATAAGCTTACATTCATTTTGTCTGCTTGAATTTCCTCTGATTTTGGCCTGCAAACATTTGGTTCTGTTTGCGACATTGGCCTTTCTCCCCCTTCTAAACACATACATATGTATAACAAATGCGCTTTGTTTAGCTCACACACACACACACTTTGTTGTACAACATATATACAAATTTATTTGTTGTCTAGTTTCTAGCTTAGGCACAATCATTTCTTGACTTCGCTGCCTTTATTTCGAAAGCGATAGTCCTTCCTTCCTGTTTTCTTTTCAGGCAAGCATTGTTGACGCCACAGCTTTCTGCCTGGTTTTATACAAATTATTGTATCTAGAGGCTATCAATTCGCCTTCTTCCCCATTTATGAGCTTAGAAAGTTAATATTATTGTTTTTGAACAGGACATGTATACATTAGTTGTTGTTTTTGTTAGATTTGTTTGTTAATTTTGTGGCTAATGGAAGAAGTAATATTAACTTGTTTTGATTGCTTTATTTCCGATTCTCTAAAGCTCATAGCTGCTTATATACGAATGCAGATGTGCCTTTTGAATATATTAAGCGGGTTGAAAGAATGACAGGAGAATAGTAGGAACAAAGAAATACGTTTGAAGGCGAGCTAAAGTGAGAAGGCGAACCAATTCCTTCCCAGGGTTTGGCGCCCACCACGTAAAAAACGCCGTCAATGAAAAGGAAACAACAGCTTCGGATGAGAAACCCCCCTTCTGATGACGACGACAACAAACGCATTAAGAATTACGATTTTAGGGCCTGCACTTGGAATGTCTGGTGCCTTAATTGGGAAGATTGACAAAGACTGAGCCGAGTATGTCCTTGTGCCATTTACTCCTTTAGTGGCCTTATAAAGGAGCGCAAATTTGGTATGAGATTCGTGGTGGATGAACGATTACTTAATATTTTTTTGTTTTTAGAATTAGATATAATTTTAAGCAGAAAAATCTTGCTCATCCCCAATCACCCTTTTTCTTCTGAAGATCGGCTACGGGGTCACAGAAAACCATAATTTTTAAAAATTAATTGCAGATTATTTAATTAAATTTCTGAATTAAATTTCTTATTTCTTATATAGAAAATGTTGCTTTGTAAAAATTTAGTAAAAAAAATCGTTTCCTTGTTGCAAGTGAATATAACCTTACTCTAAGGGGAGACAATTTCATATTTTTGATACCTTTACAGTTGACCTAAACCAGTAATGGAATAACACTTATGGACCTTTGATCTTACATTTGATTTCTTCCCTTTCAATAAAACCTTGCATAGCAAGTAGAAGCATTAAAGTTTTTTGACAAAAAAACAAAAACATTTTCATACGACTTCTATCCAACACAACAATATATCCGTATAACTGTGGCCATCAAAGTTGGTCGATATTTCTTGTGGTTACAAGAATGTGGAATTGCCTAATCTATGTATCATAAATCGAAAAAGTTTGCATACAACTTTATTACAGCATGCTTTCACCTAATAGTATGAAAAATACATTTGCCAATGTATGTGTGTATAAATCATTCACCATATTATTGATGCTTAACATCTGTTGTAACTTGTGTATGATCCAATTTCAATATTCTCTAAGCTACATATTGGCATCAAATATTATTCTACGCCATTCAAATAGTATGTGGGATTAATATCGCTAATAACATTGATGAATTCTATACAACAGCGACAGTTATAGGCCATGCTTCTGCTACTTTACAAAGCTACCACATAAATGTCATTCCCATATTCCATATTCAACAGTCTCCATTGCTTTAGAACGCCCACTAAGAAACCAAAAAATGTTTCGAACTTTTCGATGCACAAACATATAATTCCTAATGTTTTCTATGAAAAATCGTTATCGTACCCAGAAACTTGGACTAAACGCAAATGTAGTTACACGTAGCATGTAAGAGCTCGTAAACTCGATTATGAACTGCTCCGGCGACAGTGAGATGTGATATGTTTGTCCAAATTATTTTACTGTGCATATGATAATAACGC